GATTCTTTACGGCTGAACCACCTGGGAAGCCACACACACACACACACACACACACACACACACACACACACACACACACCTATGTATGTATATATGCACACATGTGTGTGTGTGTGTGGTGCTGGTGCTAAGTTATTTCAGTCGTATTGGACTCTTTGAGACGCTATGGACTATAGCCCACCAGGCTCCTCTGTGCATAGGATTCTCCAGGCGAGTGGGTTGCCGTGCCCTCCTGCAGGAGGTCTTCCAGACCCAGGGATCCAACCCGTGTCTCTTCTGTGTCCTGCATGGCAGGTAGTTTCTTTACCACTCGAGCCACATGGCAAGCCCTATATATTTATATATATACATACATATATGTGTGAACAGCTGATGCTAACAGCCGATTCATTGGAAAAGTCCCTGATGCTAGGGAAGATTGAGGGGAGAAGGAGAAGAGGGTGTCAGAGGATGAGATGGCTGGAAGGCATCACTGATTTAATGGATATGAACTTGGGCAAACTTTGGGAGATAGTGAGGGACAGAGAGGCCTGGCACATTGTGGTCCACGGGGTCGCCAAGAGTTGGATACGACTGGGTGACTGAAAAACAACAACAGTATATATATATATACACGTATATATATGTGTGTGTGTATGTATATATATATCATTATATATATGTGTGTGTGTGTATATATATATATATATATATATGTATAATGTTAAATCCGGAGATCAAATCAAGATGGTGGAGTAGAAGGACATGTGCTCATCTCCTCCTGTAACAGCACCAAGATCACAACTTGTTGCACAGCCATTAACAGGAGGATGCTAGAACCCACCAAAATAGATACCCTGTGTCCAAAGACAAAGGAGAGGCTGCAATGAGACAATAGAAGGGGATACAATGATGATAAAATCAAATCCCATACCTTCTGGGTGGGTGACCCACAAACTGGAGAAGAATAATACCTAAGAAGTTCTCCCTTTGTTGTGAGGGTTCTGAACTCTATGTCAGTCTTCCCAATATGGGGATCTGGGAAAGGGACTAGGAATCCACTAGGAATCTGACTTTGCAGGCCAGCAGGATTTGATTACAGGGTTTCCACAGGACTGGAAGAAATAGATACTCCACTCTTAGAGGGCACAAGCAAACTCTTGCATGCACCAGGACTCAGGGGAAAAGAGCAGTGACCCTATAGGAGACAGAACTAGACCTACCTGCTAGTGTTGGAGGGTCTCCCGTGGAGGTGTGTGTTGTCAGTGGCTTACTGTGGGGACAGGGACACTGGCAGCAGCAGTCCTGGGAGGTGCTCCTTGGCAAGTGAGCCCTCTCGGAAGAGGCATTAGACCTACCATAGAGCCTGTAGATTCCAGGGCTGGGTTGCTGTTGCTGCTGCTGCTAAGTTGCTTCAGTCATGTTTGACTCTGTGTGACCCCATAGACGGCAGCCCACCAGGCTCCTGCATCCCTGAGATTCTCCAGGCAAGGACACTGGAGTGGGTTGCCATTTCCTTCTCCAGTTCATGAAAGTGAAAAGTGAAAGGGAAGTCGCTCAGTCATGTCCGACTCTTAGCGACCCTATGGACTGCAGCCTACCAGGCTCCTCCATCCATGGGATTTTCCAGGCAAGATTACTGGAGTTGGGTGCCATTGCCTTCTCCGAGGGCTGGGTTGCCTCAGGCCAAAATACTATCCCCACCTGTCCCATCAGCCAATAATTGGATTAAAGTTTTACCCAGCCCACAAGAATAAGACCCAGTTTTTCCCACCACCAGTCCCTCCCATCAGCCTCATTCACCTGAGGGCAGAAGGAAGAAACAGGAAGAATTATAATCTCGAAGCCTCCAGAATGAAAACCACAATCATAAAAGTTAACTGAAATGAAAAGGCAAAGGATTATCTCCCAAATGAAAGAACAAGATAAAACCCCAGAAAAATAACTAAATGAAGTGGAGCTAGGCAGCCTTCCAGGAAAAGAATTCAAAATAATGGTAGTGTAGATGATTCAGAGTCTTGGGGAAAAAATGAAGCAGATGTAAGAAATGTTCATGAAAGACCTAGAAGAACTAAAGAACAAACAAAAGAGAGATGAACAATACACTAGAAGGAATCAGTAGAAGAATAACTGAGGCAGAGGAACAGATAAGTGACCTGGAAGACAGAATGTGGAGATCACTGTTATAAAACAGAATATAGAAAAAAAGAAAAAAGGAAAAAACTGAAGTCAGCCTAAGAGTCCTCTGGGATGACATTAAGTGCACTAACATTCACATTATAGGGGTCTCAGAAGGAGAAGAGAGAGAGAAAGGATCCAAGAAAATATTTGAAGAGATGGTTTTAGTTGAAAACTTACTTAATATGGGAAAAGAAATAGTCAACCAATCTAGGAAGTGCAGAGTCCCAGGCAGGATAAACCTGAGGAGGAATACACCAAGACACAAAGTAATCAAACTGACAGAAATTAAAAACAAAGATAAAATATTAAAAAGCAATGGGAAAAATGGCAACATACAAGGGAATTCCCATAAGATTATTAACTGATTTCTCAACAGAAACTCAACAGAAATTCCCTTCAACAGAAGAGAATGGCATGATATATTTAAAATGATGAAAGGGAGGAACCTACAACCAAGAATACTTTACCCAGTAAGACTCTTGCTCAGATTTGATGGAGAAATCAAAAGTTTTCCAGACAAGCAAAAGTTAAGAGAGTTCAGCATCACCAAACCAGCTTTACAACAAATGCTAAAGGAACTTCTCTTGACAGGAAACACAAGAGAAGGAAAAGACCTACAAAGAATTAACACCAAACAATGAAGAAAATGGTAATAGGATCATACATATTGATAATTACCTTAAATATAAATGGGTTAAATGCACACCAAAAGACATAAACTGGCTGAGTAGATGAAAACATATGTATATATGCACTTCCTTTTACCACGTCACTCTACTTAACTCTCCAAATTGTATGCAGTTATTTTATACTGTTAGGTTAATCATGTTTCCATTATGACTTGCAATTATAAATATCTTTTTTTGTGTATGGCTATTAAATGTGAAAACTCATAAGCATCTTTTACTGTTGTGAAAAAAATTATCTACTGTCTTCACAACACTCAAATATATATACATTGCAGGTAACTGTAGTCACTGGGCCACAAATTATGTTTCCCCAGGACTTATTTACCATCAGATTTTTACATTTTGACCACCTTCACCCATTTCCCTACTCTCCCATCCCCCTCCTGTGGCAACCACCAATCTATTTTCTGTATCTATCTTCAGTTTTTATAGATTCCACATAAAAGTGAGACCATACAGCAATTGTCTTCCTCTATTTGATTTATATCACTTGATATAATTCCTTCAAGATCCATCCATGTTGTTGCAAATGACAGGACTTCATTCTTTTTTATGACTAAATAATAATTTGTTATATAAAAATATATTAGATTGTTTCTATGTCTTAGCTATTATGAACAATTCTGTGATGAACATGGGAGTACAGATATTTCTTTGAGATAAGATTTTGTATCCTTTTGAAATATACCCAGAAGTAGATTTGCTGGGCCATATAATAGTTCTATTTTTGATTTTTTAAGGCCCCTCCATACTGTTTTCCACAGTGGCTGTACCAATTTACTTTCCCACCATCAATGCTCAAGGGTTCTCTTTTCTCCAGATCTTCTCTAGCACATATTATCTCGTCATTTTGATAAAAGCCATACTGACAAGTGTGAGTTAATAGCTCGTTGTTTTGATTTGTGTCTCCCTGATGATTAGGGATTTTAAACATGTTTTTGTGTATCTGTTGGCCACCTGTATGTCCTCTTTGAAAAAATATCTATTTGGTTCCTTTGCCCATGTTTTAATTGAATTGTTTTTTGTTTTGTTTTTTTTTGCTATTGAGTTGTGTGAGGCAGCATTATTATTAATAGACATCATCTTATAATGATCAAACAAAATGTGATATATCCATATAATGAAATACCATATTCATCAATAAAAATGAACTAATTAAAAAAATGAAGCAATTACTGATAAATGCCACAACACAGATGAACTCAGAAACATTCAGTATTAAGAAGCAGGACTCAGCACATTTTTTATGATTTCATTTACATGAGATGTCAAAAAAAAAAAAAAGAAAACAATCTATAAAGACAGATTAGCAGTTACCTAGGTCTAGGGGCAGAAATGGGAAGTGATTATAAATGGGCATGATTAACACATTGCAAGTGTTCTAAAATTGTTGTAATAGTTGCAGAACTATAAATATACAGACATTTATTGTATACTTAAGCTAGTATATTTTACATTATATACATTATATCTCAATAAAGGTGTTGAGTAAAGTATTTTAAAAATCAGTAAGTTTTCAGGGCTTGAAGAAAATTATTTGCTTTAATCCCATTATGTATTACCTTATTTGGAGATAAAGAATCAATATTTCCTTTACTTGTTTTAATAATTGTTATTTTTACCAATTTATTTACAGTAGTTATTAAGAGGTTTATGGTATTTTTTCAAATTTGGCTTTAGGTAGGAAGTGTGTTTTCTTGTCTGTAATTTTTGTAATGAATTTTAAAGCTTTGTAGTTAGTAGTTTTTCTTGAAAACATAATCCAGAAAGTGGTGTTTATTGCTTGCTTCCTTTTTTTGTACCCCAGGGTTCCTTGGATCTCATCCAGAGTATTGAAGATGACCCCCTTCTGGACACCCAGCATCTTCCACATCACTCTTTACATGCTCATTTTTGGCCCAGATTCCACCCTCTTCCTACAGTCATCATAGCAAATCTTCTCTTGTTGATACATGTAAGTTGGCTGGGGGAAAGTGATCCATCTGGAGGTGATGTTTTTCTAGAGGTGATGTTTCTAAAAAAAATTTATAACCTCCTCAGAGGGCAGAGGGCAGTTTGGCTGTATCTATCAGCATTTAAAGTGTGCATACTTTTTTACTCATACTTCTACTGCAAAGAATTTATTGTAGACACATTTGCAAACACATAAGGATATTGCTTGTGATAGCAATGTTGTCTGCAGTATGAAGGAACTGCAAGCTACCACTGCCCAGATGTTTTGTATGTCCTTTCCGTATGAAGGAATGCTTAGGTAGTATTAAAAGAGAAACTTAGAAATTTGGGGTAGATGCATATGTATTTAAACTACTTACTCTTCATGATTCACTGTTGAATGGAAAAAAATGAGGTTTACAATGGTGTGAACAGAATGTTCCTATTTGCATGTTTTAAAAGGGAGTTGAGAGAGCTTTTGGGCATGTGGGTGCTATTGTGACTTACAAGAAATTTATTTGGTCATTCAGGTGATCAGAGTAGAGTTCTCATGTGCATTTGGTCGTCATCCATTGTTTCTGGCTCTCAGCTCCCAAAAACACTGGGAATTTCCTGAGTAATAAGAGCAATGGGAGTAACCTTTGTTACAATTTTTGGTCTTTTGTCTTCAGGTCCTAAGATCACTTCAGTGTCATAAAGGTGAACTGGGTGTCTTGATATTCATAGCAAGCATATTTCCACCATTTCTGTTTATGTTGATGAGTTGACTTTGAAAAGCACCTGAAGGATGGAGGCAACAGCCAGGGAAACTAAGCAGGGACAGAGGTTGGAACATACAGTCCCACCTTCTGACTTCTGGGGGTGGGAAAGGGGCTGGAGGTTGAATCATTCACTGATGGCCAGTGATTTAGTCAATCAGGCGTATGTAGTGAAGCCTCCATAAAAGCTCAAAAAGAAGGGGTTCAGACAGCTTCTACGTTAGTGAGCCAGAACACTCGTGATGTGCCATACTGCCAGACCCCAGACTCGACCAGGACAGGAGCACCTTTGGGACCTCACCCAGTGTGTCTCTTCATTGGGCTGTTGATGTGCATCCTTTAATATCCTTTTTAATAAATTGGTAATCTGGAGAGTAAGTAGGTTTCTTGTGTTCTGTGAGCCCCTCTAGCAAACTAACTGAGCCCAAGAGGGAGTTGGTGGGGATTTTAGATTTGTAGCCAGTGGGTAAGAAACACTGGTTACAAGCTGGACTTGCAATTAGCATCTGAAATGGAGGTAGTCTTGTGGGACTGAGCCTATAATCCGAGGGAATTTGATACCTCGGTGGATAGTGGGAGTGATTTTAGGTGGATAATGGATATACCAGGTGGATGGTGTCAGAATTGAGTTGAACTGCAGTACATGCAGCTGGTGTTAAAAGCTTGCTTACCTCCTGCTCACCCACCCCCTTGGAATTGGTACTGGAAACATTAACATTTATTCTGTATTCTTTAATAGAGTATTTCCAGAAGCAGACATGACCCTTTTAATACTAGTTGCACTGAGTACCTTAATGGAAGGGACATCTGATATGTTTTAATGTTTACCTTTTGTACTATTTGAAAATTATTTTTACCATATCATATATTACTTTTTCAGTTATAAAAACAAACAAAAAAAAGATATAGATAAATCTGTATATCCATGGCTGATTCATGTCAATGTATGACAAAAACCACTACAATATTGTAAAGTAATTAGCCTCCAACTAATAAAAAAAAGAAATAGCTCAGCTGGAATTCCAGAAAAAAAAAAGATATAGATAAATCTATATGTTGACAGACATTTATCAATTTATTTACACCTAGGAACTAATGTTAAACAGAGAAATCAGTATAATGTTTTCCCATGTTTTATATGGTAAAATTACAAATGTCTGGGGATTTTTAAAACATGTCAACCATGAGATAAATAAATCCTGGAGATCTAGCGCATAACATAGTGATTATAGTCAACACTATAATATTATAAATTTCAAAGTTGCTCGGAAACTAAATAATTGCTCTTACTACAAAAAAGAAATGGTAATTATATAATATGATAGAGGTGTTGGCTAAAGCTATGGTGGCCATCATTTTGCAACATATGAATGTTTAAAATCAACACATTGCACACCTTGAACTTACACAATGTTATGTTAGTTATATTCCTCAATAAAAATAAATAAGTAAAGTTCAACATCATAAAAATAATACACGTGTGTGAATGGTGTTAGAGGCTTACTGGGGGCTCTGTTCCAAGTCTCTTCCTCTTTTTGATGACTGCAATCTCAAGCACTAGGGGCTGCAGTTGCTCTTTGCTGAAATGTGAAAAATCAAAAGAGGGCAAAATCTTGCCACTTCTTGGGTGTTCATGAGGAGAGTGGTTGTGGTTGAGGACTGGCCCAGCTCCAGTGAGGTGCGCTGTGAGATAACTGACTGCACTGAGGACAGAGGGGCACCTGTGTTCCTCATATACATCTAGTAAGTGGCCTGGTTCTGCCATGGCTTCCTAATCTCCAGACAGCAGCTGAAGCACTTCTTTCCTGGTGCCTTTTTGTGTAATTTGTATTACATAATTTTTATGTATGTGATACATACATACATACACATGCACACAACACTTTAAAAAAATTGCCTGCCTTTGCTATAATGGCACTGATTGCCCTAATTTTAGGACTAAGATAATCTTGTGTTAAAGAACAAGAAAAATTAATGCCTTTATATGCTACTTTGTATAAAGGGGTTCAGTTAGGTTCAATGTACAGTACATTACAGTAGAGTGAGTAGGTTGACTTTCCCACTTTCGCTTTATGAGGATATGTTTCTGGAGCTGCTAGTAGCAAATACTGCTCTTGACAAATCACATACATTTTAAATAGATTTATTACATGATAAGATTTCCTGCTTGGTGATAGGTGCCTGCTTGGTGATGGATGCTAATGACAGCATTTAAAATTTTCTTTAATTTGATTTTTTAAAATATTACAGAATAATACTTCCTTATTGTAACAAGTAAAACATAGTATACAAAGATATAATCTTCCCATTTCTCTGCTTCATCCCTTCTCCCTGAGTTAATAAATGTATCTCAGAGTTTGTTGTATTTCTTACAGTATCTTTTGTTAAGTTCATAGAAATATATACAAAAAGATTACCACATTATAAAAAGAGGTCTCCCATTTCCAAGGAAAAAAAAGAATGGGTACTACGGTATTTATTTCTAAACAACATTTCTTAAACTTGAACATACATCAGACACCCTGACAGGCTTATTACACCACAGGCTGCTGGCTGCTCCCCCAGAGGTGTTGATTTGGGGCCTGAGAATTTGCATTTCTAACTGGTCTGGAGACCACACTTTCAACTAGTACTTTACACCTTAGTGTTTTTAAATCTTAACATGTCATAGATATCCACCCAAACTAATACATAGAACTTCAGTTAATTCTTTTATAGCTGAATAGCATTCTATTATGTGAGTGAGTATACCTTAATTTATTCAAATGTTCTGCTATGGATACACACATATACTTGGGCAGTTTACATTTTTTTCTTTTCAAATACAGAGAAAACTGCAGTAAAATATCTTTTACTTCTGCTTTTACTTCTGAGTGACAGGGTCCTTAAGATAGGATTTCTCAGTTAAGATATTTCCAAATTATTTTCAACAGCACATCCCAGACCAGTCAGCATTTTGTAAGACTGTCTGTTTGCCCATATTTTGATACCAATCTTTAAAATTTTGTGAATCTAATTGGACAATTATTTTAATTCTCTTAAAACTGAAATTAGAAATAAACTTTAATGCATGATGGTTATTAGTTACTTTTGAGGTGCTGAATTAATTGTTTTTAGTCTTTTTAATAAAAGAAGTGGGCAGGAGACTGCATTTAACATTGAAGTACTCATCTCTAGCAGATGGGATTTAGGGTGGTTTTTTTCTTATTTCCAGTTTTGTCTGTTCCCCAAATTTTCTGCAAATTTTTCTCCAGGTTATCTGTTTAAAATGTTTGTAAAAATAGCAAAAATGTATTTCTTAATTCATAAAAAATAGGGTAGTGAAAGTCATAGGTTTAAGAGTATGTGCTGGGCATGGACATTATTGTCTCTTAAATCCAAATACTGAAGGTTAATCCTGCTGTTTCCTTCCCACCAGCTTGTGTTTGTTATTTTAGCGCTTTTAACAGGTGTGCTTTGTTCTTACCCCAATCCAATGGAGGACACGTGCCCAGGAAACTACACCAACCCGTTGAAAGTTCAGACAGTCATAATCCTTGGAAAAGTTATTTTGTGGATTCTGTATTTCCTTCTTGAACAATACGTCCAGTATCACCATTGCAAAGTAAGAAACCGAGGCTATAACAAGATCTACCGGTCAACAAGACATCTGAAAAGACTTCCGCTGATGATACACTCCACTGGTAAGTTCAGTTGTCTCCCTCAGCTCTTTGGCAGCTTGCTTGAGTGGCATAAATTAGAGCAGAATAAAGTGTTTGATTTTATAATAAAATATATGTTGTTATTTCTGTGAGAGTGATGTGACCACTAAAATTCATGTCACCTTAATGTCTTGAAATTTTTCTTGTATTTCCCTTTGAAATCTGTGTTATATAGGGGAGGAAAAATATTTTCTCTTCCCTTCTAGGTTTTTAGCTGAAATTCCACCAAAAAAAGACAGGTTAACTGGAGAAAAACAAACAGAAGTTTAATAACACTATACCTCCTGTATACGAGGGACATGCTTCCCTGGTGTCTCAGTGGTAAAGAACTTGTTTCCCAATGCAGGAGATGCGAGTTCAATCCTTGGGTTGGGAAGATCCCCTGGAGAAGGAAATGACAACCCATTCCAGTATGATTGCCTGGGAAATCCCATTTATAGAAGAGTCTGGCGGGCTATAGTCCATGGGGTCACAAAAGAGTCAGACACAGTTCACAACTCAACAACAATATACAAGGGAGAGACCCAAGAGAACTGAGTGACTTGAAAATGGCCTAAGCCACCCACTTCAAAAATATCTACAGCTAAAGACCAAAGAAGATGGGAAAGATTGCAGGGGGCAATAGTTCTGAGAGGTGACCAGGAAAAGCACAGGAAGCACTGGTAAGGTTGTTAAGCAGATTTCCATTGATTTCTTGTCTTCTCCATGATTAGAGTTTGTAGAGAGTTAGAGTCATCATGGTATTTGTTGTTGTTCAGTCCCTCAGTCATGTCTAAACTCTTTGCGACTCCATGGACTGTAGCACACTAGGCTACACTGTCCTTCACTGTCTCCCAGAACTCGCTCCAACTCATGTCCAATGAGTCAGTGATGCCATCCAACCATCTCGTCCTCTGTCGTCCCCTTCTCTGCCTGCTTATTATCTTTTCCAGCATCAAGGTATTTTCTGATGCGTCGGCTCTTCACATCAGGTGGCCAAAGTATTGGAGCTTCAGTTTGGAAGCTTCAGCTTCCTTGCAATAAATATTCAAGTTTGATTTCCTTTAGGATTGACTGGTTGGATCCCCTTGCTGTCTAAAGGACTCTCAAGAGTCTTCTC